ACACCTGTTATATTAGCTACTCTGGAGGCTGAGAGCTGAGGACTGCAGTTCAAAGCCAGCCTGGACAGAAAAGTCTGTGAGACTCTTATCGCCAATTAACCACCAGAAAACTGGAAGTAGTGCTGTGGTTCAAAGTGCTAGAGTGCTAGCCTTGGACGAAAATAGCTTAGAGCTCAAGTTCTGAGTTCAAAGTTCCACTGCTGACAGAAAAAAAAATCTAGAAGTGGAGCTGTGGCTTAAGTGGAAGAGCACCTGCCTTGGGCATAAAAGCTAAGGTACAGTGCCTATGCCCTGAGTTCAAACCCCAGTACCAGCACATTTTAAACAAACAAACAACATCTTAATACTCTCACTACCACCAGTCCCTCTTCCTACCACTCCCAGCGCCCAGCACAATGGCTCTTCCATACTCCTCTGCTCACTGCCCACTCCCTCCCTCCTCCTTCCTCTCCTCACTGCACATCCTCATTGCTCCCACACACCTGGGACTCTTGGGTGAAGACTACCCTAGCTCCGGGTATTCCCATTCCAAAAGAATTGTTTTCCCCCCAGAAAACAAAACTTGAATGTCCCATCCCCACAGCTGCTTTTAGAGACCGAGCGCCTTGTACATGTCTATTCGCCTACCTGTGGTGGAACCAAAGGGCCTGGACGTTGGGCTGAGCGGGAACGGGTAAGAAAGTGAAGGCAAACCTAAGCACCTATTCACGGTGGTCCCGGATGTAAAATTCCATCTAGCATTGGACTGGTTTCATCCAAATCTTACTTACTTTGATGGGCATGGAGCCCTCCAGTAGCAGAGCTAATTGAGCACACCAAAGTCTCTGCATTGTGACAGACAGCCCTGAAAGCTGCCCACACTGTCTTCAGAGGGTTTGCCCAAAATCTTACCTACTGATGACACAGCCCAAAGACCAAAGATTCTCTTCCTTGTCCCTCCCTGGAGAGTCCCAGCAAGACAGACCGCCCAGGTCTGGGCCCACCAGACACTGTGCCTAGAGTGGACATAGCCCCTACATTCATCACCTCTTCTGGGCAGTGACAGCCTTATGCTGACCCTAAGGGCCTTAGACAAACCCCTTTGTCTTTGGACCTTAATTTCCTCTTCTGTTCAATGGGCTAGTGTGTACCTTACCTACTTCAGGGAGCAACTAAGAGGATAAGGGCTGGCATCACAGCCCTGCTCAGAGGCACAGTGTTGGCTAAGCACATACAAAGTTCTGGCCTCCATCACCAGCCCTGCCAAAGAAAAATATTATAAGAAAACATAGTAGAGCCAGGCGCTGGTGACTCATGCCCGTTATCCTAGCTACTCAGGAGGCTGAGATCTGAGGATGATAGTTTAAAGCCAGCCCAGGGAAGGAAAGTCCATGAGACTCTTATCTCCAATTAACCATCAAAAAGCCAGAAATGGAGCTGTAGCTCAAGTGGTTGAGTGCTAGTTTTGAGTTAAAAAAAAAAGTTAAAGATTAACATCTAGGCTCTGAGTTCAAGCCCCAGGACCAGCAAAATAAAGTGGAAGTAGTAGGAAGTAGTTGTGGAAATAGTTTCCAACAAGGAAATTTGGCCTGTTCCTGCCAAGAAGTTGCTGTGTGTCCCCAGGTAAATCCCTTACCTTCTCTATAAATGAAAAGAGGACATTAGATCATTTCTAAGTCCCTTCCAGCTCCTCTGCTGTGTGCTCCTGTAGTAGATATGGAAGCCCCAAAGTAGTTTCTCTTTGGGGAAAAGACAGCCACAGTGAACTGCAAAAGTGCTATTTGAATACTAGTCACATAGCTTTCCATCTGTTCTTAGGAAATTCATGCAAAATGGTGGTGTGGAGTTGGGAACGGGGATACTGGCCTCCAAAGAGGCACATTCCCCTAGGTTTGTCTGGGCTTCCCTGAAGCTTGGATAAGTCTGTCTGCTAACTTCACAAAGGTCTGCCAAGTCTCACAGCTACTTGTGAAATACTTTGTCTCGTGGTGTGAATGCTCACCTGGAAACCACCTTTGCCAGCATTACCCTGCTTCATCTGAGGATGGGGCAGGGCCTGGGTGGGCAGCTCCTTCCCTCCTTCCCTATCTCTCTCCCTCTGTCCCTTCCTCCCCTTTCTCTCTCCCTCTCCCTTTCCTTCTGTCTCTCCCTCTCCCTTCCCCCTCTCCCTCCCTCTCTCCTTCCTTCCTCTTTCTTTTTTCCTTTCTTTCCTTCCTTTCTCTTTCTTTCTTCCTGTGTTGGTTGTGGGGCTTGAACTCAGGGCCTAGGCAGAATTTTTTTGCTAGTGCTCTGCCATTGATCCACAGATCCACTTCTAGCTTTTTTGCTGGTTAATGGAAATATGAGTCTCAGAACTTTCATGCCCAGATTGGCTTTGAACCATGATCCTCAGATCTCAGCCTCCAGAGTGGCTAGGATTCTGGAAGGTTGGTTCTTCCTTTTCTGTAACTTCTTGTGAGAAGATCCAAAGGCCAGAGAGAGAAGTTAAGTAACCTTCTCAAAATCTCCAGCTAGGAGATTCAGGATTTAAAGCTCCTTGAAGTGTTCCACCAACTCCCCCATATCTGGGCTGAAGTGTACCTGGCAACCTTTGAGCCTGAGATGGGAGGAGGCGGTAGAACCAGACACCCCACAGCGTCCCAGGGCTGAGTAGGTGTGTGGGTGTATGGAGAGGGGTCCTGGCCTCACTCTGCACCCCCACCCCCTCCGGCACGCTCCGGAAAGTCAGTCTATCCGCTGAGCTGCGTGACCCCCCCCCCCCCGGGCCCAAAGCCAGGAGCGGGGTGTGGCGCTGGCAGCTGCAGAGCCTGGGGGACTCCTGGGGGACACCGCCCCCCCCAGCCCAGGCCTTGAGCTGTGTGTCCTTCCCCTTCAACCCACGCTCCGGCTTCCGGAGGGGCCTTGGGCCTCTCTGCTTTCTCCAGCCGGAGCCAGAGGCCACGGAGCAGGCGGCCCGCACCGGGGCGGCACCTCGCCCCTCCCCTGACCCATGAGCCCAGCGCGGCCACCAGGCTGGGGGGCCTGGATGCCCCTACTCCCGTACTCTGAGACCTCGGCTCTGCCCCCTGGGGTACCCCGGACGCCAGCTGTGCCCCTGCTTCCAGCCCCAACCCCCAGGCAGAGGTGGTGAGCCCCCCCCCCAATGCCTGCACCCACTCTGGCCCCTCTCGAGGTCCTGGGGGGCTCGGCGCGGGGGTGGGCCCGGAGCAACCCAAGTACAAAGGGGTTGGATGGACACCAGGAGACGGAAGTGCTGGGTAGGGAACCGGCCAGGCGCAGAGTTCCAAGGGAATGAGTCGCTGGGTTAGTGTGGGGTCCCCAGTCCCCTCGGCAATTTTGGCTGCACAGCCATATTGAGAGTGTGGGCGGCTCTCCTGCCTTGGGCATACCCGGGCCACATCCTGCCGGCTGCCCTCCAGGTGTGCTGAGACCCAGCCGCGAATAGGGTCCTCTACCTCCAGTTAACCACCAAAAAGCCAGAAGTGGAGGTGGCTCAAGGGGTAAAGTACCATCCTTGAGCAAAAACGTCAATGGAGAGGGAGAGGCCCTGAGGTAAAGCCCCAATACACACACACACACACACACACACACACACACACACAGTACAACCACTTGCTTGTGGAATTCCAGGCCTTTCATTCCACACAGGACTTCACAGTTTATATTGAGCTGCCTGAGTTTGATTCCTGCTTCCACCACCCACTGGCTGGATGAACACAGACAACTCTGTGCTGTTTTCTAGTCTATAGATTGGGTGATTGAAATGGTGGCAAATACATGTCAGGTGCTTGCTTGGTAGAGTGCCTGGCACAGAGCATGATCCCTGCCCTGAGAGCAGTAATGGCTGAGCTGTGTCTAATAGGAGCTTCCTTGTGGGTGAGCCAGAGACTTGGCCCTGGGTACAGACTAAGCCTGTATATTCAGAGCCAGGACTAGATTGGCAACTGTGAGCAGCTACCCAGACTGCTGGTCCTGACCAGCTTCTTGCCAGCCTGCATCCCATAGGAACCTTTGAGTAGTCAGTGGGGTCTTAGGACAGCAGTGGATAAACTGGACTGTGTAGAAGTTATGGGGAATGGTTGTTAAAATATCCTACTGAGGGTTAGGTATGTAATTTAGTGGTAGATTGCTTGCCTTGCATGGGTGAAGCCCTGGGTTTGAATCCTCAGTACCACATAAACAGAAAAGGCCAAAAGTGGTGTTGCAGTTTAAGTGGTAGAGTGCCAGCCTTGAGCAAAAGCAGCTCAGGGACAGTGCCAAGGCCTTGAGTTCAAGTCCCAGGACTGCCAAAAAAAATCCTACTGAACTGCAACCCTGTCCTCACCCCAGTTTTGAAGTAAGTGGTCTGGGAGGATACCCTGGAATTTGTACTTCTTTTCTGTCTTTTTGTGCCCATACTGGGGCTTGAACTCAAATCCTGGGCACTCGCAGTTCCCTTAGCTTTTTATGTTCAAGGCTATTACTGGACCACTTAAGCTGCACTCTTTCCTGCTCTTCTGGTGGTTAATTGGTGATAAAAGTCTCATAGACTTTCCTGCCTGATCTGGCTTCAAACTGTGATCCTCAGATTTTAACCTCCTAAATAGCTAGGATTACAGGTGTGAGTCACGGGCCTGGTTGAGGTTTGCATTTCTAAGCAGTGAAGCTGGAGATACTGGGCCATGGGCCTCTCTTTGACAATTTGTCTTGGTGCAGAGAACCCATAGGCTGCAAGCTACTAAAGTCATGCTAGGAGGTAGGCTGGGCAGAAGTCTTCAATCAGCCAGTTCCATGTGCTTTGGGGATGAAAATGTTGGGGGTGGGGGAAAGGGAAGTATCTGAGGTTGAGAGCACCCAAATCTCTCCGTTTCAGACACGGTGAAGAAACGCAAGGGACACAGTAATTTGTTCTCTATCTTCTTTAACAATGAGAGGCTGGGAAAGGCTGCATGGTTATTTGAGGATAAAAAGAAAGGAACTGAGCCACTTGGGCTTAACCTCTTATATTTGGGGGTCCTCTCCCTTCTCCCCCCAACCCCCAGACACCCAGGAGATTCGAGGGAAGCAGGAAGGCAGCAGCAAGGCTCGCAAGGAGAGGACAGCCTTCACCAAGGAGCAGCTGAGGGAACTGGAGGCCGAGTTCGCTCACCACAACTACCTCACCCGGCTGCGCAGATATGAGATTGCTGTAAACCTCGACCTCTCTGAGCGGCAGGTGCGGCCCATCCATCGGCCCCTTCCCTGCTTCTCCCTGCCCTTCTTAAGCATTCTTCCCTGGACCTTCATTTTCTTCTTGCTCTGCCCATCCAGTGCTTCCCACCTGTGGAGGTACCTGAGGATTCTCTGGGGAGATTTCCATGATGTCTGGGTTCTATCCCAGGGGACTGTTATCATTGGTTTGGGATGGTTTCAGGACTTCCAGATTTTTCAAAGATCTCCCCAAGTGACTCCTGCATGAAATTGAACTTGGAGCATTGGGTCTGGTTAGTCCCTAAGCTTGAGTGGACACTGAATCCACCTAGGTACCTGTTTAAAACATGAATTCTTGAGATCCAGGGAACAACCTTACAGTAGCAATGAGCAGAACTGAAAATCTGCATTCTAACCAGGTTTCCAGGTGAAGTGGCTGTGTAGCTGTGTCCTGGCATTTTTTTTTTGTGATAGTATTGGCTCTTGAGTGCTGTCTCTTGACTTTTTTGCTCCATGTTGGTTCTCTACTATTTGAGCCACAGCTCCGCTTCCAATTTTTAGGTGGTTAATCAAAGACAAGAGTGTCACAGACTTCCTTGTCCTGGCTGGCTTTGGACCATGATCCTCAGAGCTCAGCCTCCTGAGTAATTAGAATTACAGGTGTGAGCCACTGGCAGCCAGCTTGGATTTTGAATCAGAAGATAGATTCAAAAAGTGGAAGTGTGCTTCATATGGTAGAACATGGGCCTTGAGAGACTCAAAGCCAAATGAGAGTAACAAATCCCTGAGTTGAAGTCCCAGTACCAGCATACACACACACACACACACACACACACACACACATGAAGAAGAAAAACTTAAATCCTTCCTCTGACATTTCCTAGCCCTATGACCTTGGGTCTATAAAAGGGACAGAGTCCTGACCCATGTGTAATATTGAAACTTGGGTGAGTAAACAGATTGGCCAGAGCTGACCAAACTGAAGAGTGCTTTAGAAATGTGCCTAAGGATGAGGCTGGTGGCTCTCTACTATTAGACCCTTGGGTAATGAAGACAGGGTGGGGGTGGGGGTGACGAAAGAGAGGCAAAGACAATGTTGAATGTTGTTTACAGCCTGTTCCCACATGTGCCCCAGCCTTCATCAGTACACACAAGGCAAGACTTCTGGACAGACCTCAATTCCTGAGCTCCTTGGAGTTGACCCCTGCCTAGATTGAGCTCCTTTCTTCCTTCTTCAGGTCAAAGTATGGTTCCAGAACCGAAGGATGAAGTGGAAGCGTGTGAAGGGGGGTCAGCCTGTTTCCCCCCATGGTCAGGACCCTGAAGATGGGGATTCTGCAGCCTCTCCAAGTTCAGAGTAAAATTCTCCCTGGTTGGGGGGGGGGGAATCAACATCAAAAACTAAAGACTGAGCCCCCTCCCCAACTCTCTCCACCCTCGCCCTCTCCTCATCCATCTCATATATATTGCATTAACTCTTGGAGATGAAGCTGCCCAGCGTGCTTGAAGGCCTCACCTGTTCCAGAAAGTGCTTGCTGGCATGGCTCCATCTTAGCTGCCCTTCCCCAGGGTCAAATAGCTACTGGAATGGATGCATCTGGAAACAGTTCTGGGAAGGCTGCTTCTCAGGGTCTCTGACCACCACCTACATCAGTCCTGACATCTTCTTCCTCCAGACAGGCTATCTCCAGGACTGACACCACCTGGCCTGGGGCCTAGGGTGGGGGGAAAAAACCTGGGAAACCAGCCAGTAACTCATAAAAGTGAACCCTCCAAAAGAAAGGAACTGAAGGAGACACCCACACACATAGGCCCACTTCCCTACTCTTCCTCTCTGAAGGCTGCATCCATGACTTAAGGACCATTCTGGATCAGAAAACTTCCAGAGAAACCAGCATCCAGAGAGTTAAAGACAGCACAACTCAGGCTGTACACCAGAAACCCGTGCCTGTCTCCAAATGTGTTAGGTATTGCAGAGACAAGTTTATGAGCACTGGCTGGGAGAAAACATGAACCATAGCCTGGTGTGGGACCCCATGTCCCCCCATAGGGGTAGGTTCCTACTGACTTGACTGAATGGCTCAAGACAAAGTCAGATCTGCACCAGCTGCTTCAGCTCTGTGGAGGGCCCCGCTGGGACTGTTGAGCAGAAGTTCCAGCAAATGGGGAAGCTCTTTCTTTCCAATCCACTATTTCCCGTTGGAAAAATTGCTCCAGGGACTCACAGCAAGGAGTCAATGGCAAGAAACCGGTCCCTTGTGCAGGGATGGACAGCAAATTTGGAGGCTGTTGGGTAAGAACTTAGAGCTGTGGAATCCTGGTGAGGAAGGTTCACCAACTTCCGTGTCCTGTGATGTCCTAGGGACAGGAAAGCTCTCCTTTTTCCTCCAGTGGATGTATCCTTGTTCCTCCTGTGTGCTCCAGAAATGAAGCTGTGGGCACATATGTGTGTGCTGCTCAGATCTCAGCCTCTTCTAGGACTGGTGGCCAAATAGTCTTGGAAAACTGAAGCCTTAAAAGAGACCGCTGCCTGGCCTCTGGGCTCAGTGCTTAATCTCCCAATCCCAGCCCGTGTTGCAGAGGGAGGTCAGGAAGAGTTTGGATTGCTTGCACTTAGATTTAATTGTAAAGTGTGTAAAAAGTCTCCACTTCCCCACTCTCTGAAAGGACAAAAGCCATGCAAAATAATTGCCAAATGAGATGGCTGGTTAGTGTGTATAGATTTTTTTTCTAAAACACTTCATATATTTCCCTAAGATTACATCAAGATAACTATGCAAGGTCAATTCACTTTGTAAAAACTCTTAAAGAAATAAAGTCAATTAAAAAATTTTTTAAAAAGCAAAGCTCCCAGACCCTTTTGTTTACAGAATGCAGAAGCACAGTTTCATCTGGTCTTCTTATCCTCATGTGATAATTACCCAGATAGAGTCTAGATGCAATAAGGGAGAAGGAAATAAATGGTGGAAACCAAGCTTTCCTCCTTTAGGTTCTTCCAAAGATGGATATAATGTAATAATTAATGGCAAGAAAAAAATCTGGGTGCTGGTAGGTCACACTTGTGCTCCTTGCTTCTCACGAGGCTGAGATCTAAGGATCACAATTCAAAGCCAGCCCAGGCAGACAAATCTGTGATAATCTCCAATAAGACAGTAAAAAGCCAGAAGTAGAGCTATGGTTCAAATGGTAGAACACTGGCCTTGAGTTAAAAAGCTAAGGGAGAGCACAAGTCACACACACACAGTAAAAACAAAAATCATTTCTCTAATACAATTAAAGTTAGTAAAGAAATCTTTTTTTGTGGGGCTGGGAAGGTAGCTCAGTGGTAGAGTGCTTGCCTTGCATGCATGAAACCCTGGTTTTGATTCCTCAGCACCACATAAGCAGAAAAAGCCAGTAGATTTCTTTTTTTATTTCTTTTATTGGTGATGGGGCCTGAACTCTAGACCTGGGCACTGTCCCTCAGCTCTTCAGCTCAAGGCTAGCGCTCTACCCCTTGAGCCACAGTGCCACTTCCAGTTTCTGAGTGGTTTATTAGAGATAAGAGTCTCATGGACTTTTCCTTCCCAGGCTGGCTTTGAACTGCTATCCTCAGATCTCAGCCTCCTGAGTAGCTAGGATTACAAGCGTGAGCCACTGGCACCTGGCTGTAACTGGAAGCGGCACTGTGGCTCAAGTGGTAGAGTGCTTGCCTTGGGCTGAACAGCTGAGGGACAGTGCCCAGGCCCAGAGTTCAAGCCCCACGACTGACAAAAAAAAAATCTTGAGCATAAACCAAACATCCCTACTATTTATTTATTCTTTATCCCTCTCTCCTTACCCTCCCTCCCCTCTTTTCTCCTCCTCTCTTCTCTTCTTTCCTTCTTATGCTGGGTATAGAATACAGGGCCCTATTCATGGTAGGCAAGCACTCTACCACTAATTTCTACCTCTCAGCCTCATCCCTAGTGTTTGAATTCAAAGTTTGGAGGTTTTTCTTCAGGGATGAAAATGTCACTAATAATAAAAGTGATATAATATGACTCATATTCTACATCTTTTTAATTGAAAATAGTCTCTCACCAAGGTATCAAGAATGGGTGAAGTATAACTGGTTAGAAAGAGGGGAGGGAGGGAGCCAGAACAGGAAAGCTGGCCAGGAGGAGACAGAAGCAGCCAGGGTCAGGCAGGGACAGTGACTAGAAGTGACATTCTTGGGTCTGGTAGAGTATAGCAGACCCATCATCATCAAGGTGTCAGAGGATGGGGAGGCTCAGGGGGCTAAGGTTCAGGCCCACCAAGCAAAATGGGCACCCTCAAACATTCCTACAGAAACTCAGCTCCAGTGTTTGGGAGCTCTTCTGATTTTCCTCATGTGACCCAAATATTCCTTTTCTGCCCACCCACATGCATATGCAGACTCTTCCTCCGTGCCTTAGCATGTTCTCTGTCCAGGTAGACACTTTCACAGTCCTCCTGTGGCTCTGCCATTGTTCTTTTCCCTCTGCACAAGGCTGAGGTGAAGGCTACCCATAAGCCCAAGTTCCAGAATGAGAAAAGACCTGGGACTAAACCAAGGCTGATGCTCATAGCACAGTTGTTTAGTCTTTAATCACTCAGTGATACATCTTGGTTTTTATAATCCATCCCTCCCTCCCTCCCTCCCTTCCTCCTTCCCTCCCTCCCTCCCTCCCTTCCTGCCTGCCTTCCTTCCTTCCTTCCTTCCTTCCTTCCTTCCTTCCTTCCTTCCTCTCACTACGTGGCTTAGGCCAGTCTCAAACTCTTGATCACTCGTCCTGTTCTCTAGTCCAGGAGAATTTTCTACAATTCTGGCCATGGAACCAAGATTTTCTGCCAATCACTCATTTACCCCATGCCTGCTGTCTGAATCCTGGGCCAGCCTTTCCCCTTTGACCTGTTGTGGCAAAGAAATAGATTCCAGGTTCTGACCTCTGACAGCAACAGGCTTCAAGGCATGCCTGATAAGAGCCTTGAGACGCTTCCATTCAGGATGATGCTTAATAGCTTGAAGGTGACATCAGGCCTGGGAGTAAAATCCAATTGAACAGAGAGAGACATGACCTAACTCGTCTCTCACCACGGACCTGGCTGCAAGAGCTTCTCTTTATTAATTTCCTAACTGGAGCTGCTGGCCCAAGACTTCAGGCTGTCCCCAGAGCTGGGGCCCATGGCTGGGCATATGTCCAGCATGACTGGGAAAGCAGCAGGCTCAGCCGGGGTCTGAGAAGGGCGACCATCGTGGCATCTGGACTGTTCTTGGCCAAGGCCTGGTGGTTGGCTTCCTCCACCATCCTAGCAGATTTACTGTGCTTTGAGAAAAGCCAGGAAGGCAAATCCCCAGTCTCTAAAGAGTTCCTTGTGGTACAAAGGAAGACATGAGACAGCCTTCCATCATACTGAAGGCTTCCCCAGAGGCTGGAAAGGACGGTTTTATTTGTAGTTTTTAAAGATGATTTAAACCTAGTTTTCCAGGAACACAAATCCTGTCTCAAGCACTCAGAGCACCTGGCCAGAGGGCTGCAGGCCTGCTTCTGAGCTGTCGGCTCTCTGTGGAGACCAAGCTGTCTTGAATTATTTTTTCCTTTTCTTTCTTCCTTTCTTCCTTCCTTCCATCCTTTCTTTCTTTCTTTCTTTTTTTTTTTGTGCAGTTGTGTGGCCTGAACTCTGGGCCTGGGCGCTGTCCCCAAGCTCTTCAGCTCAAGGCTAGCGCTCTACCACTTGAGCCATAGCACTACTTCTGGCTTTTTCTACTTATGTGGTGCTGAGGAATCAAACCCAGGGCCTCATGCATGCAAGACAAGCGCTCTACCACTGAGCCACCTTCCCAGCCCTTCTCCCTCTCTCTCTCTCTCTCTCTCTCTTTCCTTTCTTTCTTTCTTTCTTTCGTGTGTGTGTGTGTGTGTGTGTGTGTGTGTGTGTGTGTGTGTGCTGATGTGTGGTCTGGGCATTGTCCTTTAGCTTTTTTGCTCATAGCTAGTACTCTACCACTTGAGCCACGGCTCCACTTCTAGTTTTTTGGTGGTTAACTGGAGATGAGTCTCATGGACTTTTTTGCCCAGGCTGGCCTCTAACCTCTAGCCTCAGATATCAGCTTCCTGAATAACTAGGATTACAGGGATGAGTAACAATACCCGGCTTGGATTATTTTCCTATAATATTTGTTCTCTGCATGAACAGTTTTCTCCTCCCTCTTCTTCCCCCATTTTTTGGAAAGTGATATGCTTAGGGGCCAGCATGGGCTCTGCCACAGACTGAATGATCTTTATAAAGACCACTGTTGCCAATTTTCAGTTTCCTTATGCTACTAGCCTGCAAAAGTTATGGTGATTGATACACATTTGTAGAAAAATGTTTCTTTTTC